TTCTCGGGTTCTGGACCATTTTTCTCGGTTTTTTCTTTCTTTCGTGCAGCACTGACCGTCCCTACTTATTTCCAATGAGCTGCCTTTTCATCGTAAAACTCGCCTTTGATTTACTGGTTCAAGAGCTCATCAACGGCAAAAAATACCACTGTTTGATAATGTTCTCAACAAAGAGGCCATAATCGCAAAAATGAGCACTGTTGCAGATGGCATGGTCGTTTGCCGGTCCTACACGGAAAAATTTCCTGATCCGAGCAATCATCCGGTTACGGTTGCCTTGTTTGCTGTGCTTTACACATTCGTGTTTGTGATCAGCTTTCGCAGGCAATCTAGGTAAGCGCTTCACTATTTAGCCATTTTGAAACTGTTTTCGTCACCCTGATTCAGGAGTCATTTACGCCACCGTACGACATCGAAGTCTCCAGACCGTGCAGAATATCTTCATTGTGAATTTGGCCGTCAGCGACGTCATTCTTTGCGTACTGTCCATTCCCTTAACGCCAGTCACACATATCGCCAAACAATGGTCAGTTAACCTACCGCAGTGGAATTATTTACACGATAAGAACACAAAAATCTCGTACCTTTCATCCTACGGGGATGAGCCATGCACCCGACTTTCGCCTAGGATCGAATCACTTACATATTCCTGCCGCGCAATCGGTTTTGGGCTAGCCATAATCCATTTTGGTGTTCTGTTTTGTTCGTTTATTGGAATTAATTTATTGAAAAACAAACAGGTTCTGATTGCAGGTATTTCGGCTCGATGTTGTGTCGAGTGGTGGGAGGTATCCAGGCGATTGGTCTGTTCATCGGCACATTTTCGCTGTGCGCTATCGCCATCGACCGGTACTTTCGACTGGTTATTGCCCCAGGTTTGATTCTTCAGAAATCCCAAACAACCGCCGTAAGACTTTATCGGCCCAACACCTACAAAGAAAGATCTTAACTTGAGCATAAAGGGAGAATAATTCACCGTCACATTTGAAGCAGTGTGTCGGGATCAGGTGCCAAGAGGTGCTCCCTCCTGAGAGGGAGAAATACAGATCCCCAACGCCAGGAGCGGCGACACTGCCGCGACTCAAAAGTACGCGGTAAGGGCGCTAGACTTTGCCCTGTACGCTGCCCACGTTGCCACTCCATCAATCGCGACATTGGCGTCTGCGCCCTCTCGCCTACGCGTACTCTCTCGCGTTGTTCTCGTTCCTCCTCGCATCGCTGTGTCTCTACTTCGTACCACGGCCAGCCTCACACAGAAAGTTCTGAGTTTTCTGTAGGCCTTTTTCTTTATTCCCTCCACACACACTTCTCATTACACTTCTGTCTTTAACTTAACAAAATAGCACACCCAATCACCCGACCGTCTTAAGCGAATTCATCTTGCCGTGCCTTCTAGTAATAACTATAGGTATTTAATCTGTTCTTTTATAAAGACTTTTGCAGGTAGCCCGTTGCGTAAAGTGAATGCTATCCGGATCACAATCCTCCTCTGGATCATTTCCATTCTCGTCACACTTCCTTACGTGTACCATATGAAAATGAGACCATAGTATCCTTCAATAAATGAGTTTCTGCGAACCTCCAGTGGACAATTTTTTCAAAGTTACTGGTTTGCAGATTTGGAGAATTTGCACGGAAAATGGCCAAATTTTCATCAAACGGATCTATACGCCTCTTGTATCGCCCATACAGTGGTCCATTCCCGTTTCCATAATGACAATACTGCTATCCAAGCATGAGTGCTGTTTCTTCCACTTTGCCGCGAAAGGCGGCGCCCCTTTACCTGGAATGTTTCAGGTATTTTCGTTCCTTCGACGTCGAGCGAAATCTCGTCTCACTTCAATCGCTCAACAAGCAAATCTTCTTTATGTGGTTGCCGCCAACTGCAGGAGGAGACACTCAACAACACAAAGAGCAGGTATGCGCGTAGCGATGAGAAGAGAGCAGAGAAGCAGACTTTGTCTGTGACCATCATTACTCTCATAAAGGGTCACGACAAACGTGGCATTGATCCACCCCTCGTAAATACCCACGACTTCGACGTCTATTCGCTATGTAGTGGCACTTTGGGGATGTTTTTGGGGGGCCTAACACAATACAGGGCCACCAATCTTGAAACAATGGCAGTTTTAACGCTGCGCATGCAATAACGTCTCTTCACTGGGCGACTGCGCCCTTTCTTCTTGAGAGATTCTTTGAGGGGGGGGGGTAAAATTCAGTTTTTGGGAAGCACGCCTGCTATCTCTCCGTAGTAGAGGAGGCACTGTCGGTCCTTTGGTTTCCAACCACATACGGGTAAGAAATTAGTAAACGACTTCTCACGCGTACTTTGAAAAAGGTCCGGGACATCTAAATTCCACACATCCTGCCACATTCCCATCCACTTTTTCCCAGGTCATCCAACCCTGAAGCCAGTCCACATCGCGTTCAACTTTCCAAAAATTCTGGGGCGATCTATCCCTTAGGGGTCTCGATGCGACCATGACCACCACCATCATCAGACTTGGAGGCTCCCTCAATAAGTCCCTCCCCCTCCTACGCCGACCGCCACTTTCTCCATCATGGCTGTTTCTGCAGCATTTGTTTCTGAGAATTCTGAGACCAGTCGACACAGCCCAGCTCCCCTTACCTTTCCTTCAAACGGCCGTCGCGCGGAAGGACTGTAATAATGGACGGTGACGCATCTGCCATTTTTCTTCCCCAAAACCAAACCATCCATCGGAACATCTCGTTTCTTGACCATCCTCTAAAACTCCGGGATTCGAACTTCTCCAAAGTCACAACCTCCTCCATCACTCAACCCTAAAATGCTACCCCCTTTTCCCGAAGTCACAAATGCGACTCCTTCGTTTGAATAGTGCGAACGGACAGGTTGACTCTGCCTGGAGCTCCTCCACCCTTAGCCCTAGGCAGAGGTGTCCATTCTCCTGGTCCAGGACCGTTCCCTTGGACCATGGCAGGCGGAAATGTGAAAACATTTCAGGGTTTCTTCCACATTACACCGATATTTATCAGAAGTCTACTTTAAATGAGTCGATTACGTGTCGTGAGCCCTCTAATCCTTATCTTGAGTATTGGAGAAAAAATGGAGTGCCCCCCCCCTGGAGTCTTCACCTATTTGGAGAAGCCATGTGGGCTTTTAAAGCTTTGGAGAAGGTCAATCAAGGGCAATCAAATCAAATTTTTCAGTGAATTTGGCCAATTTTTTGCTCTATCGGCATAGAATCACTTACCGCTGTTGTTTCAGTTGACACATTTGATCGAGCAGAAGCGACGAGTAATGCAGCAACGGCGTCGAGTCACACTGATCTTGGTGTCGATGGTGGTGATCTTTGGTATCACCTCACTGCCACACAACATCGTCAGCACTCTGATGGAATTCACCGACAGTCATGATCTGCTCGCCTACAACGGCAACGACTACACCTACCTCTTGAACCTCATCACACACTTGTTCGTCACTTTATCTCTTTTAAATATTCGGTGCAATACAAGTGGGACGGGCATGCCGATTTTTTGAATACGGTAGCCGCGAAATGTATGCACGTAGAGACTAGTGCTCATTGATATTACGTAACGAGACGCTATGATGTAATTCATACATTCCAGCTTTTCATGCATGTCAACACCATCTCACTAGCACTGGGTAGCAGTCCCCACGTACCCTCGCCTTCAAATAACCAGAAATTGTGCAATTGC